TATTATGTTTCTTTCTATTTTTTTGGTATAGTAAATATTAAAATTATTTTTATATCAAAAAAACTTAAAAAGAACAAAATAATGTGAGAAGGAAGCTTTTTCAAAAATTAAAAATCAAAATTATAACTTAGCAGTTTGAACTAAATAATACATCATTAACTAACAAAACAATTAATAAAGATTTTATGAAAAATATTTGATTGATAATTTTAAAACAAAATAATATACTCAACTGAAAAAAACGTTAAAAATGAAAACACTTATTTGAGTAATTATCCCAAAACACAAATAATTGTCAAGAGCAATGAATCTGATGAAAATATCATAATGTAATTTATTGTTAAAGCATATATATATGCAACTAAAATGATCATGATATGTTGGGCCAAGGAGATGATTACGCGGGAATAATAGCCAATAATAGTTAATTTTGAATGACATCTCAAGCAACATCATGTCTTGCATCAATAACATTTAATTTTGAACAGATCCAATATTGTTAATCTTATAAAACACCAGCCATCAAGCAATTGATATCGTATAAAAAATTTATTAGATATAAGAATTTTTACAAAAACACATGCAAACCTTTACTATGTCTATGCTAATGCGAGCTTCAAGTATAAAAATAATTTAAGCGTTGGGTTTATGTATTTTTTTACTAATATTTTCGTATCATAGTAAAAATAGAATTAATCTTATTCGAAAGCGAGAGCAATAATGTTTAATTTTTACCTATAAATACAATTTTAGAATTATATTAACAAAAAAAATTAGATTCAAGAACAATTCGTTTGCCGTAGGACCAAAACTTATTGGTTTTGGTTTATGTATTTAGTGCAAAGACAAGTAATTATGTTTGCCACCACCACATTTATGGGACCCAAAAACTCAATCATTTCACTAATGGAAGAAATAGATGTGAATCAACGTGCCAGCCCAACAAACTCCTTGCATTACACATGGATTGTTGATTTGTTTCTAAACATTTTTGTTGTAAAGCTATATAGTGCAAAATCCCTGATGTTTAAGCTTCTCTTATCAAATCAAAATGAAAATTCTTCACCTAATTAAAAGGTTATGCTTCTATTAATACAGAATGTATTGCTAATTTCTCTTCCTATTAGGGACCCAATGGCTGCAGGTGGAAGAAATTATACAAAAATATATGCCAAGAAAAAATAGAAGTTGAGGGACCGGATCCCGTTATCGATAATCCATAATTTGTTTTTTAATTATTTTACTTTACATTTTAAATTTATGCATTTGTCAATACATTGTTTGCAAGATTTCAAATTAAAGATTTACAATAATTTATTTAAACATAAGTTTAGTAATTTAGAAACACATCAAATGCAACTAGAGGCAGTAAAAAAGTTGCTTATTTGGCCCTAAGGAGGCAAAAAAATTGGCACCCTTCTTCATCCTTTATATATATATATATATATATATATATATATATATATATATATATATATATATATATTATTTAAGAATTAATTCTTTACATGCTTAGTAAAGGTAGAGATGGAATTTGAGGACTTTGTAGTGTATAATTAGATATATTTGATTTACCAAAAAAAAAAAAAGATATATTTGACAAAAAGGCTAAGATTTGCCAAACTTTCGTTGACTGGGGACCTCTGGCCAAGCCCCTTTCGAGTCAAAATCATATTCCAAAAATCGACAATTGCGAGTCTCTAAAGTTTGATCAACTTTTATGGGGTCAAGTCAAGATTACAAATAAAGGAAAAAAGAATTTAATTTTTCATATATATATCCTAGTTGCTTTATTGAATGTTATGACAGTCGTATAAAATTGACTAATATTAGACATTCTTAGAGCTTCTCATAGATTTTTATAACTTGCTCCCCACGGATGGTTATTTTTTATTTATTCCTAATAAAAAAAAATCTTATTGATAAATTGATGAAATGTTAAGAGGTGATTGATTGAAAACAATCTTTTAAATAGAAATTGATACAATCCATATACCTTAGATGATTAAAATGAAATTAACCTAATTTCTTATCTCAATTCGAGTCATCAAAATTTTTTAAAATTCTCTATTAATTTTTCCATCTAAACTCCACGGATATTTAACTGAAAATATTAAGTTTCTCACAAAACCGCATCTCTTACATAAAAGTATATAATTTCGATGGCATCATGAATGATTATGGATGAAAAAACTAAATTGAGAATTTATTAAAATTTGAAGTCAAATTGATATATATATATATATAGAAACAAATAAAGTCAAATAATAAAGTAAAGTCAAATAATAATAATAATAATAATTATACAATTAAAAAATTTTATGTGGTTTGATAATGATGTCGACTCCACAGCTGTAGTATGATTTTTTATTAACTTTTGTAAAGTGATAGCTATCGATATAAATGATATTATTTTTATCTATAGTATAGACAATTAGAATTATATAAAAAAAAAAATCTAACAAATCTATATATCTGAACTAATATTTTATAGATATTTTACGAGCTTTGTCCTGGAACCTCCATAAGGGGTGTTGTTCCTTCGACATCCAATCGATGATGGGCTAACAAGACAACCATGCTAGCTTTGTACAATATCTTATACTGTGGATTCTATTTGCATTAGTCTGTGTGTGTGTGTGTGTGTGTGTGTGTGTGTGTGTGTGTGTATATATATATATATATATATATATATATATATATATATATATATATATATATATATATATATATATTGTGTGAGTGAAAAAACAAATCCATTAAAATTTCCCTGAAAATAATATTATTGTTAAAAAAAATACTATTGCTTTCTCAAGCTTTTGGGATTTTGTTATTATTTTAAAAAAAGTGCTCTTGGAATTTTGTCTAATGTATCTTTCTTTTCATGACACGTAGAAAGTAGCTTTGCATGAATTATATTTTTTGTCGGCAGTTGATTTGAATATTTGTTACCCTTGAAATATCTTCTATCATTAAAAAATAAATTAAGCTGAAAAGTTATTATAGTAGGGATAAAAAAATAAAAGATAATCGATCTCCCCTCTCTCTCTGTCTTTTTAATGGCAACTAAAGTACCATATCATTATTAATCATTAATGGAGCTTGAGACTTGGCCCTTTTCTTTTTAGGCTAGTAAAAATATTTTTTTGTTTTACTCAATTGTCTATATTTCAAATTAAAAAATATAACTAATTTTATTCAATATCGAAACGATAAGAGTTAATTTTTCTTAATAAATATGATTTTAAGATTCAAATATTATATATTAATAAAAAAATTATTTGAAATCAAATTGTTTACTATTATCTAACGACTTATTGATACACTTGTAAAAATATTAATTATACTATTAATGAACTATAGCTTAAATGGAAAATTAATATCTCTATATTACTACTATTTGACTAAAAATATATATAATTTTAGTCAGTTTGATTTTCAGAATCAATGACCAGTAAACTAACTAAATAATATTTGACTAAAAATATATTTTTTTAATCAGCATTTCGATCGAAACCAATTTTTTTTTTTTTTTTTTTTGACAATCTCAATATCAGTTTGATGTATTAACGAATTTTCTCCAAATACCAATTCAAATATTCTGACTAAGAAGATTAAGAGAATAAACATGTTTGACTAAAATATACCAGTAAGAGTGTGATATTAGAAGTTAGAACATGCAAGTTAATTCATATGATTAAAATAATAATTCTAGTAACCATAAATCACTCCATCAAAGACCCATTTGAATCTAACCCCAGCCACTAAAGAAACAGAGTAGAGATAACCTCCCAAAAACAGAGCAAAATTACACAAACAGTAATACATTTACAACATTACCATCTATATAGACTAAATTATAAATTAATCACTCTGTTTTCTAAAAACAAATTAATTAATCTCTCTTATTTAAAAAATTAATTATTTAAACCATAAAGAGGTAGTTTATTGGTAAGCAAATGTTGACTTGTAAGTCCGGTCTAGGATTCGATCCTTGACTTGGTAATCACTCGTTAATTATAAATTTATTCTCGAATACCCAAAATCATCTGTTGAAGAGTGCTACTTAGCCACATTGAGGGAAGGATTAGTCTTGAAGTACACGAAAGTTGATTCAATGACACTTTTACTATTAAACCAAAAAAAAAATAATAATAATTATTTAATATATTTATCAGCATTATTATGTTTAACTAAATATTAATTTATTTTATAAAATGTCATGTTTTTTCATCAATGTTTTATTTTATTTTATTTTTTACTTTTTTTCTATTTCTCAAAACAATAAATCAAAATAAAATGAAAAAGGACGAAAACGATTAACTTACAACAATTTTTTAAAAAAATAGAGAATAAATAATTATTCTTTTAAACAAGTAAAATAAATTAATTCATTTCTCAAAACTAGAAGAATTAATTTATAATTTATTCCATTTTTAGATTTACCCATTAAGGAAAAATAAAATTATTCCACCAATAAGCTATTGGTCCAAAAAATTCCAATTTTGAAATTACATTTGTTAACAAATATTAAATTTTGTTGTTTCTATCTCAAACAAAATTAGTATTTTTTTCAAGAACTACGTTAAACTCTAAAAAAAAAAAAAAAAACAAATTATTCCAAAAAATTTTGTTGCCAACATGAAGCCCAATACACGCGTCTTCTCCTGTTGCGTATGTACACTTCTCCTATAAATAAAAACAAATACTTATTCCATTCTGTGTGCAGCTCCAAGATTAAAAATACCAGGTGCCCCTCTGGCCTCTAATGGCTACAAAACCATCAAAACATTTTCCTTCCTCTTGTTTATTTTCAAGAACCAAAACCTTTACTTTGACATCCGTTTAATGGAATCTATAAAAATTCTCATCTCTTCTGTACTTTCTTGGATTCCATTACAACATGTTCTTTCACAGCCAAATCACCAAATTTGAACAAAAAAGAAAATCTAGTTAAGTTCTTGAGGTAAAAGAGAGGAAGTATTTTTCATTTTTCAGTCATGGAGGAGAGGCATGTTATTTTCGGGAAGTATGAGATGGGGAGGTTTTTAGGCAAGGGAACTTTCGCTAAAGTTTACTATGGGAAACACTTGGTGACAGGGGAGAGCGTGGCAATCAAAGTGATAAGCAAAGATCAAGTGAAGAAAGAAGGCATGATGAAGCAAATCCAGCGAGAAATCTCAGTCATGCGTCTTGTTCGTCATCCAAACATTGTAGAACTCAAGGAAGTCATGGCTACGAAGACTAAGATCTTTTTCATCATGGAGTATGTTCGAGGTGGTGAGTTGTTCGCCAAAGTAGCCAAAGGAAGGCTCAAAGAAGAAGCTGCTCGAAAATATTTCCAGCAGCTAATCAGCGCAATTGATTACTGTCACAGCAGAGGTGTTTTCCACAGAGATTTGAAGCCAGAGAATTTGTTGCTTGATGAAAACGAAAACTTGAAAATCTCTGATTTTGGCTTGTCAGCCTTGCCTGAACAATTGTGGCAAGATGGACTTTTGCATACTCAGTGTGGGACTCCTGCTTATGTCGCCCCAGAAGTTTTGAGAAAGAAAGGCTATGATGGATCGAAAGCTGACATATGGTCATGTGGGGTGATTCTTTATGTTCTTCTTGCAGGATGCTTGCCATTTCAAGATGAGAATGTTATGAAGATGTACAGGAAAGTTTTCAAAGCTGAATACCAGTTTCAGCCTTGGTTTTCGACAGATGCTAAGAGGTTGATTTCAAGACTTCTTGTTGCTGATCCTGAAAGGAGAATCACAATTCCTGCCATAATGAGAAATCACTGGTTTTTGAAAGGGTTTTCAAGACCAATGGCCTTCTCAATCCAGGAACCAAGCACAGATAACACAGAACAAGATCAAGATCTTGATTCTTGTTCCGTTGTCAAGCCTAAAGTATCATCCCCAAAATTCTTCAATGCATTCGAGTTCATTTCCTCAATGTCATCCGGGTTTGATTTGTCTAGTCTTTTTGAGACTAAAAGGAAATCAGGGTCAATATTCACTTCAAAATTTTCAGCAAGTGCTATCATGGAAAAAATTGAAGGGGTTGCGAAAGGGCTGGATTTTAAGGTAGCAAGAGTTAAAGATTTCAGAGTGAGGTTACAAGGTCCATGTGAGGGGAGGAAGGGGAAGCTGGCAGTGACGGCAGAGGTGTTTGAGGTGGCGCCGGAGGTTGCTGTGGTGGAATTCTCCAAGTCTGCCGGAGATACCTTGGAGTATTCTAAGTTCTGTGAGGAAGATGTCAGACCTGCATTAAAAGATATTGTTTGGACATGGCAAGGTGACAATGCTTGTAATACTGACAACAACAATAGTCATTTAGAGGATTGTGAACTTCAAAACTTGTAGAAAGAGCCTCTGATCTTTGTTCGGGGAGTTTTAGGATTCTGTATCATCTGTAAATATGTTTTGGTTAGTCAATTAATGCACCAGGTTGAGTGTTTTTGTTAAGCACAAAATAACCAGAAATTCATACACACACACACATATATAGAAGAAAGGTTCGAACTCGAAATCTTTTAAGAAAGAGAATACTAATATTGGAAATTTGTACATCCTCTTATAATTCTGCCAATTATCCTATATGTTCAAAAGGATGAGCTTTAATCATATATGATCTTAATTGGTTTCATTGGATCATCTTAATTTCAGTTTTTACTTACAAGATATTTCCATGGTCGAGGAAAGAATATAATTTTGGATGCAGGCCACCAACTCAATTATAGGTGGGTTAGTGTTGATTAATTCAAACAAAGGATTAAAAACTAAAAATACTGAGTGGACTTAAAAACTCAGTAAAGATGAAAGTCATGTTTTGGTATTTTGTGGATGCAATTTTGAAAAAAAGAAAAAGAAAAACAAGTTGAGAAACGAATTGATGGCTAGCTGACGATATGTTTAATCAGTTGATGCTTCTAGTGTCTCGATAAGAAAAAATTGTTTTATTTTTATTTTTATTATAATTAAAATTAAAATTTTATTATTTATAAATAATTAGTCATGATTATTTTTTAATAATATTAGATTTAGACTGATTTGATTTAAGAATCAACATAACAAAATTAAGTGTGTTCTGACGATGATTTAATTCGAAAAATAATAAATTTAATCTTGATATTGATAAAAAATACTCAATTTATATATAAAAATAAAAAATTGAAGGTTGTGTGTGATTGAAGTTGTTTGACTTTCACCAAACTAACTGCACTAAAATTTAGTATCTCATTGATTTCAAAACATAACCAATAGAATAATGAAAACATCTTAAAAGAAATTAAGCTGTTTCAATTTTTAAAATACTGAATAATGATAGATATCTTCCAAAATTTGGGATTTAACTCAAATGATAAGTGAATTCATTAGTTTATTGGTTTAAATTCAAGTCAAAACAATCTTAGCCGACGAAGACTTGTCCAAATTGAAATATTTAAACCTTAAAAACACGCTGGTGCCAGTTCGGTAGTCGAGGAAAGACCAGTAGCCGGAACTAGGGGTAGTTATGCTTTCGTTGTCCGGATGGTTTCCTTCACAACCATCCAATGTTAATGTTCGATATCTGGACCACGCGTTCAGCTATCGTGGGTTTGGGCATGGCCAGATCCAAAGGAAAAAGGGTGGCATTTCTCGTTTTGGAGAGACAAAAAACTACAACGTGGGAACTACTGGACCTAGTTCAATGAAATGGAAAGGAATGTCGTTTGGGTTGTCTTCAAGGCATCCAAACAGTGCCAGATAACACTCTAGCTAGCCACTGCCACTCACTTTATATATATATATATATATATATATATATATATATATATATATGTTTAAGGGTATCTCATGTGTATCGTGTAGAAAAAAAGAACAGCTTTTTTTATTTTTTTTAAACGTAAAAACTCGAACCTAATATTGCTTTCTTAAACCATTAGAACTTCTTTCACTCAAATAACTGTTAATCACTTTTAATTGTTTTACTTTTTGGTTTTTGTCTATAGGTAGGCTATAAGGGAAAATTTTGCAAACAACAATAATGCTATATATAATATATGAAGAGGAAACAAACAAGTTAATTTGGATCACTCATTTGCCTGAAAATCCTACTAAATTAACGTGCTGTAACAAAATTAGTGTTTTAGATTTTTAATTTTTAACAATATATATATGTGTGTGTGTGATTATATATTTTTTTTAAGTTAGTTTTTTGTATTAATTGAGATTAATTTCATTACTTTTCAGATCAAGTTAATGCTAAAACTTGTCAAGCGATCTATGGCCTATATCTTAAGCCAAATCAGTCCAAATAAGTCATTAAGAAATAATTATGATTAGTTATTTGTAAATATTAAAAATTAAATCTTGATTTTGATGAAATATCATATCTCTTAGTGATGACCTTTTTTTTTTTTTTTTTTTTCAGTTTGCAAGAGTCTTTCAAGCCACTTTTAAATAGGAGAAACTTTAGTACTTCATAAGTAAATTAATATTAAGAAAAGAAAGAAAGATAACAAAGAATCTTAAATTCCATCTTTTAAAAATACAAAATGTGCATGTTAATGAATGCAAAACATTCAACGAGTATCCATCCCTTCGTGTAATAACATGGATAAATTGACAATATATCCACATTAGTATGATTTAATTTATATATTTTTTTAAAAAATATATGAAAATAAAAATAAAAGTAATATGAAAGAAAGAATAACACTTCAATCATGTTTTTTTTTAAATAAAAAACGCCAGCCATGATCTTAATAATTCATCAATCATCACATTTGGATTCCACCATAATGAACAAATGGAATTTGTTTATGTATTATAATAAAAATATTTTAATCCAAAAATTTTAATTATTAAGTAAATACATTTGAAATTTACACAAATCTATTATTATTATATACTGATTTTTTAATTATTAAATAAAAAAGCTCTTGGATCATATTAAAAAACATATCAATTTATAAATTTAAACGATTAAATGAAAGCACGCACATAATTTTCTAAAATATACATGGGCAAATGCCTATAAAAATAATTCGTGTAGAATTAAATGCAACGTACAGCAACCACCTTATGGGCTCAAATTATTTTTGTGTATTTATCAATATTTTAAGCTCTCAAGAGAACATTTTAGAATCTGTTTGTAATATTCTCTCTTGTATTTTTCTAAAAATTTAATTATTGCCGTCTTTGTTGACAAAACAACTGGTATACTTCCTCTAAGAAAATCGGTATCCGCTCCCATCAACCTTTTGTTCTATCGAGCTAGCTTTTCAAGTCTTTTTCATAGGGTAGACTTATTATTATTAGTCTTTAAAAATTAATTAACCATTGTCAACTATGAAGTTAACAAAATACAACGGTTAGACTAAATTTATTTATGTAATCACTATGATAAATTGATTAGTTACCATCAATTCACCAAGTGAGGGAAGAAAGGGGAAGCTGGCAGTGACGGCAGAGGTATTTGAGGTGGCGCGGAGGTTGCTGTGGTGGAATTATCCAAGTCTGCCGGAGATACCTTGGAGTATTCTAAGTTCTGTGAGGAAGATGTCAGACCTGCATTAAAAGATATTGTTTGGACATGGTAAGGTGACAATGCTTGTAATAATGACAAAAACAATATTCATTTAGAAGATTGTGAACTTCAAAACTTGTAGAAAGACTCTGATCTTAGTTCGGGAAGTTTTAGGATTCTGTATCATCTGTAAATAAGTTTTGGTCAGTAAATTAATGCGCCAGGTTGAGTGTTTTTGTCAAGCACAAAATAACTAGAAATTCATATATATATATATATATATATAAAAGGATTAATATGTGAACATTGTAGAATCTGTTTGTAATATTCTCTCTTGTATTTTTCTAAAAATTTAATTATTGCCGTCTTTGTTGACAAAAAAATCGGTATAGGTATCCGCTCCCATCAACCTTTTGTTCTATGGAGCTAGCTTTTCAAGTCTTTTTCATCGGGTAGACTTAATTATTATTAGCCTTTAAAAATTAATTAACCATTGTCAACTATGAAGTTAACAAAATACAATGGTAAGACTAAATTTATTTATGTAATCGCTATGATAAATTGATTAGTTACCATCAATTCACCGTCGTAAATTGAGAATTTGGATCCTCTCATGTTTAAAATGACATGATATATTATCGACCTGTCAGGAACAAAAGCACTCTGACATTCTGAAAAATCCGAGGTAGCAACAACTTCAACCTATGATAGGCTAGAATGGTCTTACTTGCGGGAGATGATGTTGAAGCTGGGTTTCCACACTAGATGGGTGGAGTTAATTATGTTACTTGTGTCATCCGTGTGCTAACATGTAGCTTCAGGGTCTAACTTTTTGGGGCCAATCACACCATACCGAGGATTGCGGCAGGGTGATCCATTATCACCATATCTTTTCACCCTATGTGCTGAGGGACTTTCTTTACTTCTCCGTCAGAAAGAGGAGTTGGGACTCCTCCATGGCTGCATAGTGGCTAGAGGTGCTCCAGCGGTATCTCATCTATTCTTTGCTGATGATAGTTATATTTTCCATGAGGCTACACAGACAGAATGTAATGTTATTGGGGAGGTTCTTGAGACCTATGAGAGAGGCTCGGGTCAGTCAGTCAACTTTCAGAAATCTTCTATTACGTTCAGTTCCAATGTTCCAATTTCTAGGAGAGATATGGTGGCTGGTCAGCTGCACGTTACAGAGTCCAATGGACATGGCACGTATCTAGGTCTCCCTTCACTGATCGGGAGGAGGAAGAAGGCTGTTTTTGCTTATATTAAGGACAAGACTTGGAGGAGGGTGCAGAGCGGGAAGCATAGACAATTTTCACGGGCTGGTAAGGAGGTGCTGCCGAAGACCGTTGTCCAGGCCATGCAAAATTTTGCTATGGGTGTGTTCTTATTGCCAGGGGGGTTCAATGGCAAGCTTAGACACGTTTGCGTGAGCTGAAAAGCAAGGGTGGTATGGGGTTCAAACGACTGCATGAATTCAATATAGCCATGCTTGGGAAACAATGCTGGAGACTGCTGACTTCCCCAGACGGTTTAATGGCACCTGTTTTGTAGGCTAGGTACTTTCCTCGATCTTCTTTTATGGAGGCTACACTAGGTCACAACTCAAGCTATGTGTTTGATGGAAGCGCATAGTTTGGTCAAGAGTGGTAGTATGTGGAGGACTGGGGATGGGAGATCAGTACATGTTTGGATTGATCCATGGTTACCGATTTAGCTTGCCCGTTCGTTCAAAGCCCAATAATAGAGGGATTGGACAATTTAAGGGTGTCGCAACTGATGCATGATGGGGAATCAAGGTGGGACTTTGACTTTATTGATAGTTGTTTTACCAATAGGGATAGCGGTTTAA